CCGCTAAGAAAGGATTTTGATCAATTCTACCACCAAGGGGATAAAATATGGAATGAAAGTTTGTATGAAACTTTGTCAATTTTATACCGATCGGGCTGAGACTTTGTATGCAGGTATAAGAAGAATCATTGATGAATGTCATTGTGTATACTACAAGCCAAGAGAACAAAACCGTAGTCTACACTTCAGCTCTACACCGAAGCGAAGCGAGGGAGGGCCGCTAGTGATATAATAAAGTCTTTTGACCATCAAATAAAAAGAAAACCTCTGATCTGTGGGGAAATTCCGTTGATGTCTCTAAATCAGTAATTAAAACAACAGCTCCAATCTTAGCCGACATATTTAAGCAGTGTATTGACTGTGGTGTTTTTCCTAATCTCATGAATCACAACAAAATGACTTCATTATTTAAATTCGGTAACACATCTGACCCCACAAACTTAAGACCTATATCTGTGCTACCCACGTTTATGATATTATTTCTATTGTAATTTCTTAAAGGACAATGGGCAAAACACACCCAGCTCCGCCAACAATGTTATTAGTATGAATCGATAGATCTATGAAAACTAGCCTTTTTTATTATGGCACCGTAAAAAATATCCTGGTAGTCAAAAGATATGGCACCGTAAAAAATATCCTGCTAGTCAAAAGATATGGGACGTGTGCATATTTAAGTAGCTAAAAAAATTCATTTTATAGTACCTACCTTATAATATTAGTAATCATAATAATATGCCATATCGTACTATACAACCAGATATTGCCGACCATCCTGCGCTTGCACTTCTGAGACACCTCAACGGTTTACGGGGGTTGAAGGACTTGCAGTTGCGAATAGTTGACTCGTCTTACTTCGTTGTGATTGTGCGCTCCCTGTGTCACTTGATTGATTTTTATCTAGCACGATTGGAACATTATAACATGATTATCGGTTTTGTCAATTAGTATGAATGAACTGGAATCATGTTTTCTCCGATGCGTGGACAAGTTTGTGTGATTTGTGGTCGCTCCGTTTTACATAGAAGACAATTTACTATAACAGAATGATTGAAAAAACCCCAACCCATACGTGGATTTTTGGATTTACTCTAGCGTGGCAGAATAACATAAGGTGACACCCTTGCGCCTTGTGAAGTACTCCCATAATACCTGAGCCCCTATGTAGGGTCGAACTAACTAACAAAATTAATTCCCTTGTTTCATTAATGTTCGTTCATTATAGTACTTGTACCTATTTAACTTAAAATAACTAAAGACCCCCGGGATGGTATTTGATGCGCTTTAGCACAGAAGATCATGAGTATAATACCTTTCAAACAAATGTAGTTTAAGCCGTGGCGGACGTGGGTGCAGCGTCCATACATTTTTGCCCAATGTCCTTTCCCAGTCTTATTTCTATAAAAATAAGTTACTTCATTCAAAACAATTTGGTTTTACAAGGGGTCGCTCTAGAACCGACGCTGGTGTTGAGCTTTTACAACATATTTTTGATGCCTGAGAGCAGTCACGTGATGCTTCTATGATTTGTCCAAGGCTTTTGATTGCGTTGTTCATAAAATATTAATCAGGAAACTACGCCACTGTGCATAAGCGGGCTGTTCGATCAATTTACAATCTTAAGATTAGTGACTCTTTAAGAGAAAATTTTAAAGAAATAGACATTATGACTGTTGCTTCTCAGTACATTTATTATTAAAATTTAATGTATGTTCAAAAAATATTACATTATTTGCTATAAATAGTGATAAGCACTCGCTTGGTACTAGAAATAAAAATTAATTAGCTGTACCTGTATTGAAAGGCTCCACAAAATTAATAATTCATTTAAAGGTCTTTGTGTACGCTTCTACAATATAGTCCCTAGCAATATCCAAACAATAAGCGTCGATAAATTTTAAACTACCTACATTATTAATAAAGCCTATTATTTATAAGACAAGACACTTTAGTGTCTCCAAACGTTCCGGCAGGCTTTTTCTATAATTATGATGTAGATGAAATTATTTTGTATTGACACCGTAACAATATAATATTAATATTGTTACATAATCGCTGTGAAGTTTCTTTCGCCAGTTTTTCTCCACAGCTAAAAAATGTCCCTAACTGGTGGTAGGGGAAAAATATGGACGATTCAAAAGAGGAAAAAAATATGGACGATTTAAAAGAGTTGTGTTTTGCATCCAATTTGAATAAAGATATTTTGACTTCTGACTTTAATGCTTTTTTGCCACCCTTTTTACTAATAAACGCACATTTATTACCCTAAGCCAAAAGCAGACCAAAGTACGAGTAGTAAGTGGGTTATACGCGTGTTCATATTTATAACGACGCGTACATTCTCCAAAAGCTTTGGCCAAGCGCTGTCCTTATCCCCCCACGATAACGGCTAACTAGAGCTAAGGTCAGAGTCTCAGAGACGCCCTCTAGTCTAGCCGACCACCTCAGGTTCGAGTGGTCTAGAGGCTCCAGACGGAGAGGAGACTCCCACTATGTTGAGATGTCATCCGCCTGGAATACCTTTAGAGGCACTCGTCAATTCTCGACTTGAGGTCCTCTTAGGATCTCGCCGTCCACAAGCCCGGTGACGCTGTAAAGGTCATCTGCGACCAACAGCATACACAACAAAAAAAATTAAAACTTTCCTTACGCAGCTTGAGAAATACTTGTTATGGAAATTGAAAACGACGAAAGTGCCACGACAGCTAATGACGCGATAACTAGGGGTTAATAAACGTTATCTATATATACTAGCTGACCCAGCGAACTTCGTACCGCCCTAAAAAAATAGGGGTTGTCCAGCGGACAAAATTGTGAATCTAATCTAAACCATTCTCAGATCCCCTTGAACACACACAAAAAATTTCATCAAAATCGGTCCAGTCGTTTAAGAGAAGTTCAGTGACATACACACTCGCAGAAGAATTATATATATAAAGATAAAACTCAAAGGTGACTGACTGACATAGTGATCTATCAACGCACAGCCCAAACCACTGGACGGATCGGGCTAAAATTTGGCATGCAGGTAGATGTTATGACGTAGGCATCCGCTAAGAAAGGATTTTGATCAACTCTACCCCCAAGGGGATAAAATAGGGAATGAAAGTTTGTATGAAACTTTGTCAATTGTAAACCGATCGGGCTGAGACTTTGCATGCAGGTATAAGAAGAATCATAGATGAATGTCATTGTTTATAATACAAGCCCGAGAACAAAAACTGTAGTCTACATTTCAGCTCTACACTGAAGCGAAGCGAGGGCGGGCCGCTAGTTGGTACCATATATTTTTTCTTTCATGCACATCACTCATTCAATAAAACAAGATTCAACGGGTTGGATGCACTGATTTTATTTATTTTTTGACGTTTCGCATCCTTTGTGTCGTCGGGATATTCCTGCAAAGGATGGCTGCACTGCTACTAACTTAACTGTGCCGTTGGTACTGTCGCTAACGGTGAACAAAATAAATAATAAATAAATATTTCCAACACTCACACCAATTAGCCTAGCCCCAAAGTAAGCACTATAAGGCACCATAACACCGGTATGCTTTGTTAACGGATAGAATACATATACTGTACATATATAAGTATATTTATATAAATACATATTAAACATCCATGACTGGAGTACAAATGCTCGTATTCATCACACAAACATCTGCCCCCACCGGGATTCGAATTCGGGACCTCTCGAGTCGGCGACATCATGGAACCCGGCGTACAAACCACTCGGCCGTCAAAAAAAACTAAGTCGTCAAAATACTATGGATAAATTGTAGTTCAAATTTTTGCCATCGGCACAGAAAAGTTTGTGGCACTCGACTGCGTTCAACTTTTTAAGGTACCTAATAATTTTGTCAACATTCAATAGTTTCAGTTACCATGCCGAAAAGCAAATAAATGGTTTCGTTTACATTTTCAATTCATGATTCATGGAATCGAAGAGACCCACACACACACAAAACACGCATCTGTCGTAATTCGTATCGCATAGCATCCTGTCATGCTACGGTATTACTGCCGTCCTCAAGCTAAAACGCGGCTAAATGACACAACCAACTTTTGAGATATGGCCAAAAAACGGCTCGTAAACTTAAAATTATTGCTATTTTGTAACCATTCAGCAGCACCTGACGGATTTTTAGACTTAAACTATAAACGATACAAATACTTGTTAAAGACAGATCGATAGAGTATTAAAATAATAATAATAATTTATTGGAACCACTTTACATTTTCGTACATGATAATGTGAACACTGTCCTCTGGAAAAGGTTACCCTGAGGACCAGAAGACAGTGCTCTCCCCACTATTGTTACTTTAGAGATACAATAATTTAAAACCACTAAATAAAAAATTATATAAAAATAGGTAGGTATAGCATTAACCAGTGTGTGTGTGTGTGTGTGTGTGCGTGCGTGCGTGCGTGCGTGCTTGCGTGCGTGCGTGCTTGCGTGCGTGCGTGCGTGCGTGCGTGCGTGCGTGCGTGCGTGCGTGCGTGCGTGCGTGTGTGTGTGTGTGTGTATATATGTAAAAACTATATAAGATGCAATTTAGTGCTGAAAAATCGACCTCATGTCACTTAGCCGCACTTTAGTTTGAGGACGCTAGATTAGCTAGACTGACATGCACTTGGTATCGATACCAGAATCGGATGCGATTTATCTGATATATGATACGCATTGATTTCACAAATATCTAAAAACTAACGTTATAGTTATGATTTTATTTATTTTTTAAGCATTTAACTGCTAGATGTTTAAATCTAAAGAAAAGTTTACTAGTTTAAAAAAAACCACGCGGACCAGGCAGCGGTCGGGATTCGAACCCGCATCCTTCGCTAGCCGGGCGAATGCACTGACCATTATGCTACCACGGCCCTATTAGCCGCGTCGAAATTTTCCTAGCCTTAAGCTGCAAGGCAGCGCCATCTCTTCGCATTGTAGGTAACTAACGTTATGTCTGTATGATTTTCAAATTTCGTTTTTGCTTCAGGAATCCCAATGACAACATACGCCAGGAAGTTGTCCTCCCAGCATCGCGGGAGAGGAACAAGTTCCGCGGGGTCAACTGGGAAGAATATGATTCTACACATCAGAAATATCTGGAAATTGGTTGGTATTTTCTCTATATTGTTTTAAACTTTCATGGTCACTAACATTATAGTAATGTAAGTTATTTACGGGATTGTTACCATGTACCTTGTTTTTAGTAAGTTTCCGATATTTCGGCACTGTTGCAATGACGACGAAGTCTTCTTCGTCTCGATCGAACGCAATAAGAGACTTCGTCGGAGGGTAGACCGATATAATAATAATAATAATCTATTTATTTATTTCTCTCAAGAATGGTTACAAAGTCTTATATTATAAAATACAAAGTATAATTAGCAAATAATTTTAACCTTTCCCGAGACTGGTGTCTGCACTAGGTTGTGAAACCTGTCATACAGATCACCAGGCTCCCACTGCGCCGGTCATCACTTTCATACTACACTATAGTATTCAATAAACTCATTTTCACGAGAGAATAAACGATATGATATATCATATACTTAAATTAATGACTAATTTAACGCTAATAATATTCAAGTTGTGTGTATCTACGCGGGTGTTTGAGTGTGTGTATGTTTGTGCGTGGGTGTCTGTTAATGTGTGTTTGTGCGTGTTCGTGTGTGTATGTCTGCCAATAACAGCCTACCCGCAATTACTTCAGTTACTCCGTGATCATGGCGCTTGCAACAGTGCCGAAATATCGGAAACTCGCTAAAAACAAGGTAAATGGTAACAATCCCGTAAATAACTTATATTACTATAAGGTATTTACTCTATATTAGCGATCTGCCGCTCCTTAGTTGATGAGAAATATAAGTTACATGATACGATTTTAATAAGTATATCTTTAAGAAAAATCGAACTCATATGGAGTACAATATTCTGAAAACAAATAACCCATGACATATATGTAGGTATCGATGATGTAACTAGGTTTCTTGTTTGTTATTCAGTCATCAAAATTTTAAGATATTTACACAAAAATTTTGATAATCTACATATTATTAAGTATTTTTGAGTTTATTCATTCATCATCATCATCACCATCATCAGCTTATTAATGTCCCCACTGTTGGGGTAAAGGCCTTCCCTATGGATGGAATAGGGAGATTGGGCCGTGACCCACCACGCGGGCCCAGTGCGGATTGGTGGGTGCTAACGACTGCATATGCAGCCGGGACCAACGGCTTAACGTGCCTTCCGAAGCACAGAGGAGCTCGAGATAGTAATTTTTGGTCACCCATCCAATGACCGACCACTGCGGAAGTTGCTTAAGTTTAACGATCGCAGCCGAACGCGCTAACCACTTGCGCCATTTAGCTCCTCAATTCATTACAACAAATAAACAAATCTTTTCTCTTTAAGAATGTTGTTTGCAAAAATGCTATCAATATTTTTTCTTGTTAGAACATGCTAATCTTTTGTTTTAGTATTTCACGAAATACGGATGATAATCTCTCCCTTCTGCAAATTGAACAGTTGCTTTCATTTAATGCAAGTTCCTCTCAATGTTCCACTTCTTATAATTATTTTTTTAAGCATATAACTGCTTAATATTACTAGAAAAAATCCACGCGGACCAGTCAGCAGATGGGACCCGAACCCGCACCCTTCGCTATCCGGGCCCTGATGGCCGTGTCGAATTCTTTCTAGCCTTTCTTAAGCTGCAAGGCAGCGCCATCTCTTCGCATTGTAGGTAACCCACAATGTCAAATGAATACCTTTACAAGTATTAAACATTTAAAAGAAGAAATAGCAAGTATAGTTATATTTTATTTTCTAAAATATAACTGCTCGATATTTAAATCTAAATAAAATAAAAGGACGTACAAAAGGATTTTTTTCTAGATATATTTTCTTTGGTTCCACTTCTTTCTTAGGACAATATACACTGTCTTATTGCCTTTCACTGTAAAGCTCAGCGTGACAAGCGAGCATTTTGTAAAGGATTCTGTGGACGTGTATACTTTTTGGAAGTTTGTGTCCTTTGGCAATCACTTATTATTATTATTTTATTTTCATCATCATCAACATTAGCCTATTAACGTCCACACTGCTGACGTATAGGCTTTCTCTATGGATTTAAATAGGGAGACTCGGCAATAACCCACCACGCGGAGCCAGTGCGGATTGGTGGGTGCTATAGACTGTAGATGCAGCCGGAACCAACGGTTTAACGTGCCTACCATATCACGGAGAAGCTAAGAGGAAAATAATTGTATATTTCAGTTTGAATCTTCGCAGTGGTTTAAATCTGAGCCTAAAAGTCTGTCCTATGAAAAGTTTTTCCTATTACCCGTAGTGATTAGACTTATTCAGACATAAAACACAAAAACGAGGTGCCTATGTAGTTGTTATTGTTTTTGAAGTGAAAACCTCTTTAGCGGCGTTCTACACTTTTTTTGGTCTGGGTAAAAAATGTTAAATTCGAGTCAGGTTAAACACGTGGGCTGATCGCATCATGACACACATTGGAAAGGTTGTTGACTTTTAATATATTGGTCGAAACATATGTGTAGTAATATTTTATTTTACCGTATTATAATAATAAGTCTCTATCTAGGACGTCCACGTGGCAGCTTTATTTCGAAGAAAATCCATTTTTTTACAATAGATGTCGCTAAGTGCGCTTAAATGTGATTCATGTAAGTTGATTTCTTTACAATAGATGTCGCTAAGTGCGTTTAAATGTGATTCATGTAAGTTGATTTTTCTGAGAGATAAACTTTTTTAATGTTATATAAATTGTCATGTTTGTGTACGATACCGTAATCAATAAATATTGTATTCTACCACATACATGATAGTACTATTATACTGATAATTAAAGCAATTCGTGGAAAATTATTCCCTAACCATTCCAAAATGCACAACGTTAATATTCAAGTTTTCTCGTCGTCAGTCGATTTTTTTTTGGTTACTGATTTTTCTCTCATTTTAGTATATTTATAGCACTGTTGTTACGATAACAATAAACAAGCGTAATAACAAGTCACAATACCAAAGCCTTACAAGATAATGTTTGAATATAATGAAATTCAGGAGAGAATAAACAACTCATTTACGGGGTGTAACAAAACGTATACTTATTGTAAGCACTGCGCTAGGTTGAAGATTTTAATGAACTTTTCTTCAATTTCGTATTATGAACTGTATTTCCTCGCTGTTATCTCAATTTCGTATTAAGTTAATTTTACCAACGCACTAATAATATCCCCTACTGGTGACACATTCCTTTTTTATCATGGAGATAATCACATAAATCAGAGTTCAATATATCTTTATTCAAATTGGATGTATAGTACAATTCTTTTGAATCGTCAATTTTTTTTTCCTTTCCATTCGTTATTTGACATATTTTTTAGCTGCGTCGAAAAACGAGCGAAAAAACAATCCACAACATTAAAAGTATAATGTAACAACATTTACAAATCATTGTTGTTACAACGTCAATACAATCATAATTTATTCCATGTAGAAAACCTGTTGGAATGATTGAAACAGTTCAAACCCAAGCATTTTTGTCTGTAGCATAATCAGACACTTTGTAATAAGATTTTTTTAATAAGTGCTTTTTTAAACTATCTCTGAATTTATTTATGGTTATCTCTTGGATATTGCTTGGGACTTTATTGAATAAGCGACACACATTTCATTTGGGCCACGGGTCTTTGTTAAAATTTATTTATTTATTTTATTTAGACTTTCTTGCACAAATGATTGTACAAGTGGCGAACTTAAAGCCATTAGGCATTCTCTACCAGGCAACCGGAGAATTATAGCAAAGATCTTGAGAAGATAATGCAAAAAGAATTTATCGAATTATTCATTATACTTAGAGTATATCAATAGAAACAATCACACTAATATTATAAAAGCGTAAGTTTGTGAGTGTGTATGTTTGTTACTTCTTCGCGTCTAAACGACTGGAGAGATTTTAATAAAATTTGGTATGGTGTTAGCTCACACCCTGTATTAACACAAAGGCTACGTTTTACTGCGGGAAAATATCCCTAATATACCGCGGGCCACTGCTAGTATAATACATTATACTGCATAAAATATATGTGTTTATAAATGCATAAAAAATAAAAATATTCACATATAATGGTGTATACATACAAATCTATATCATATCAGGACAATGCAGATAAGGAATCTAATAATTACATTACTCTTAAAAATTTATACCTATCCTGTATTTATAACAATCATTACAGTAAATGCGTTTCACATATATATATAAATATATTTATATCCCTTCATTACACCCTGTATACATCTATTGAGAATAATGAGCCATTGTGAGAGGTCGTTACTCCGATAATATCGTAAAAGAGCCTACTTGTCTCAATTAAGCGAACGTTCCAGAAAAAAGGAAACCCGTAAAGTTATCTGATGTACAAAAGGACACAAGACTTAAACGATTTAGGTGGCAAAGGAGGTCCCAAGAAATTTGTAAACGCAAAAATAAAAAAGGTTTTAAAAAATACAAGGTAATGGCCTCTTTACTGCGGCTGTTGTTTACGTGCAATTTTACGAATAAAGTCACGTGAATGTAAATTAAAATTTTCTTTCTAGGTATGAAGCCTCGACTGAAGAATCACTTCAGGGCGCACCAGCTATCCGTGTGGCTCCGCTTAGTACCAGAACTACATCGCGCAGGAATGGAGGATGTGGCGACGCGTCACAACCTCTTCAAAAACCACAACGAACAAGATTTATACGAGGGCATCGTCAGACCGGATCCACTCGCGAAGAATTCCGATAACGAGCAAGTGCGACGAACAAACGGAACTTACTCCGACACAGCACTCACTACCGTCGACACGATATTAGCTACGTGCGCCACCGTCCTACCCGGCCGGGATCTGCAAACAGTAAACACAACGGATAATACCTTGGCCAATTTGGAGGCGGCGGGATACGCCGCATATTCAACGGCACTCAGCGTAACGATAGCAATCGGCTGCTCGTTGCTTATACTGAATGTGCTTATATTCGCGGGCGTATACTATCAGCGGGACAAATCGAGGTCACGGGGCAAACAGCAGCGGTTCAACGAGAAACACTTCGAGACAATTTCGGGGAAGCATTCCCATTACCATATGGATCCGACTCACGCCCCGAGCTTGGTCGTAGACGTGGAGAGACAGAACAGGAAAAAACATATGATGGGATCCGATGCTCACTTGTCCAATTTGAATTTCAAAGGGCCCTTGGACGTGCCGAAGTCGCCTCCCAGTCCGACGCTGAGTATGGACAACATGATGCTTCCGGCTAAGTTAGGGAGTAGGAACAGCAGTTTCAGGATACCCAATGTGACGTACCCGCAAATGGGGGGCTACGCGACTATGCCTAAGAATTTGAACAAGTTTAATAACTCGCCGCCGTTGCAGGAAGCGAGGCAACAGAAATTCCAGCCTCCGAACGGCTCGGCGGCGCAGAGCTCCCCGGGGAGAGAAGGGGAGAGGGGTCCTCACGCGACCCTCCGGCGAGGGAAGCCCACCCATACCCCGAACCTCCCACAAGCCGCCATTGACGAAATGAGAGTGTGACAGTTAATTCCATATGACTTTACATTACAGGATTAAAAATCGTTTCTGCCTCTTTTAAAAGTGTAATTCATATGTAACTTTTTTGGGTGCGTGCAGATTGTAAATATTAAATGTACTTATGGACGCGTTGAGATTTTTTAGGGAAAATGTTACGAGTTTCTCAATCACTGGATGATAAAATATGATTATCGATTAAAAAATTATAATGAATTTATTTTGTTTTATTCCATTTGTAGTTAGAAAGAAGTTATGAAATCCACTTAAGATAAAAATCTTAACTGGACTGGGCTGTGAAGTGGTTGTTATACAAATATACATGAATAAAAAATCAACATTGCTGTTTGACACAGGCAATAAGATAATGCAATATTATGCAAAGGATATTACCTAAATATCACAGTTAGCATACACCCAGATTCGTGACAAAGTAAATAAAATTTTTTCAATGGGAAATCGAACTTTGGATCTCAGAGACGTGGTGGTCGTTATTGGAATAGCAATTTTGAAAGCACTACCTTTTTATCATCTTCAGCCTATTAATGTCCGCACTGCTGGGCACATGCCATCCTTATGAATGGAATAGGAAAAATGGGCCATAACTCACCACGCGGGCCCAGTGCGGACTGGTGTGTGCTAACGACTGCAGGTGCAACCGCGATCAACTCAGCGTGGTTCTCCGAAGCACGGAGGGGCTTGAGATAATAAGTTTTCGGTCACCCATCTAATAACTGACAATGGGAAAAGATGCTTAACTTCCACGATCGTGAGCTAAACGCGCTAACCATCTGTATTGCCTTGATCATACATATCGAATGAACTGGCGAGAAAGTTAAATGTATCTCAGGCGAGAATGACGGCAATCGTAATGTGGCCAAGTGGCGAGACAGTGCATGTTCAGAGCTGCCGAGTGAGCAAGCTAGACAGTGCGGGAGTGTGGACATTCAGACTAGTAAGTAGAACGGGAGCTGGGTTACTGTCTCGCCGCTTCGTTCGGTCGACCCCTCAGCCGAGCATTCGGCCACACTCGGCACTATGTTTATATGTCCGAGTACTCGGCCGAGAGCACTGTCTCGCTCGTTTGCTCAGTACGTGTGATCAAGGCATATGGCGTAAGTGGTTAGCGCGTGTGGCTTGCGAGCTTGCACTAGCACTATACATGCCAAAAGAATAATTGTACCCTTTAGAATTAATAAAATTTAGGTGCCTTCCTCACATATATCCTTTTCGTTTCTGTACCGCATCTGTACAGATACTTTACCGAGAATCGCTTTTTGACTGGCTCGGTTTCAGTGCGGTATATTTCGTTTTGTTTTCGACGGTTTGTTTGCGGGAATGACGGGACGGGCGAGACGAATGTTTCGGTAGTATTCAGAAGTACTCGGTACAAAGAACTGTGAATACTCTCGGTAAAGATTCTGTACTGAAACAACTCAGTGAGAAAGCTCTCATTTAATTTCTGACGACCTCAGTGGCCGAGAGGTTTGTACGCCGGGTTTAATGGTGTCGCCGACTCGAGAGGTCTCGAGAGATACTGGTGGGGGCAGATGTTTGTGTGATGAATACGAGCATTTGTACTCCAGTCATGGATGTTTAATATGTATTTCTATATAAATATACTTATATAATAATATGTACTGTATATGTATTGTATCCGTTACCCTAGTATCCCACAACACAAGCCTTACAACGCTTACTTTGGGGCTAGGCTAATTGCTGTGAGTGTTTGGAAATATTTAGTAGTTTAAGTAGTTGGGAAGAAATCTGTACAGGTTCGGTACTGAAACGATAAAGGAATGAACCCGCACAGATCCGGTGAGGAAAGCGCCTAATTCGATTTACCAAATACCTCAAAGTTAGCAACAATCAAACGGCGTTAATAATTATTATCAAACTTCAGTTCACAACAAATCAACACTAACTATTCAATTATCTCTTTGTAAATCAAACAACAGATCACGAAACTGTGATTGGCACGAACAGAAATGTATTGAGAGTGAAGAGTGAAGTTTGATATTGTGTGCCCCCGAAGCCTATTCAAAATTCACATAATGAACAATAGTACGGACCGAAATTGGATTTCACAAAACTATGAAAACAACTACAGATCTGTGTTTTCTATAACAGCTACTTATTAAAATTGAAATAGTAATAGAAGATCTGAACCTACATCGACCTTCACCGAGCTGATAATAGAATGAAAAAAATAGTCTGCCAGGATTTTTTCAGGCAATCCATTTTTAATATATTTTCTAATACAGGGTGTAAAAAAACCTTTAACGAAGCCGGAGGCCACGTATATTCCATATTATGACGATTATTTTTTTCTTCTGGACCATACCTGGGAAATTTATGGTTATGGAGATATTGAAGGTCAAAGTCACATTTTTTTTAAATATTTAAAAACTTTTTTATATACGCACTTACACACACGCACACACATACACACAGGCACATTGTTTGCGTAGCGCCACAGTAGCGCGCCGCGATATAAATTGCGTACTGGAAAAAAAATGTATTTTTTTTACTTAAAAATGCAAATGTTTCCCACGTATAATATTTTGTAATATTACTTGTTTGGGTGTAGAGAATGCGTAGTTTTAGCCTTTGTCATATGTTTTTTTACACCCTGTATAATAATTTCATTATTAAAATATGTTTCATTCTATTATCAGCTCGGTGAAGGTCGATGTTGGCTCGGATCTTAGACTATATGATTTTGAATTTTTAATAAGAATTATAACTGTGGATTGTGAATGGAATGCAAAAGAAGTATTCAAAGTAATAAAATAATGTTAAATGGTAAAGAATATCATTTACATGCGAGTAACCATAAAGATGCCCATTTAGATTAGGAGATCGAAAGAAAAAATCAATTTTTCAAATATAATTATTTCGCATTGAGCAAGATGAATGAGAAGTGAACATCCCTGTGTGATAGAATCAGAAATGGGGAAATCCGGAGCAGAACTAATGTAACCGACAGCGCTAGAAGGATTGCACAACTGATGTGGTAGTGGGCGGGACATGTTGCGACGAGAACCGATGGCTGTTGGGGCGGAAAGGATCTGGAAAGACGACCATGCACCGGACAATGCTCAGGGGGCAGTCCAGATGGACCGAAGATCTGGTGGAGGTCACGGGAAGCCGATGGATGCGAGTGGCGCGAGACCGATCGGTGTTTAGATCCTTGGGCGAAGCCTATGCTGAACAGTGGGCGTCTTACGGCTGAGATGACGTTTAGAGTATCGATTCTGATAAGTTAACCTGATAATGTGTATTGATATTATCTCGGTAGTTTTGCTAATTGCACAGTTTTTGTTATTCAAACACAAATATTTAAATACCTAATAAACGAAAAAAATATAAAATTTAAGCCAATGCGAATGGTTCAGTATCAAAACCTAGACTGGAACATTTATTTATTTTTGAGAAACCAACAACGTTACAAATACTACATAATTGAACTTAGTTATAAGAATGGCCAATAACAGGTTTCTACGAATTAAATTAGGTACAAAAACTGTCGTTGTGCAGGCTAAACTAAGGCTACATGTAGGTATGCATATAATAATGCCAGGTCGCGTGAGAACGTTGCAAGGCGGCTATTAGTGTTGACTAGCAAACCAGTGAACCAAATGTTCACCAAAACCTGATTTGAACAAAAAAAAAGTAATTATTTAATTGAGAACTTCGGAGATTTTGTGTGGTTTCGTTTGAAATTCGTGATTTCTCGAAAACCGGAAGTGCTACGTTACTCAAATCCGGTTTGTAGTCTTATCAGACTATTCTTAACTTATAACTTAAACATTCTCTTTATCTATCTCTTACGGTTTGGCCGCTGAAACAGCACCACAGACAGACGGACGGACGGACTTGTCTAATAGATAAGAGATACTTTAATTTGGAAATTATATTGGTTTTGATAGCGCTTTTAGTATTTGAGAAAATGTCTATATCACTAAAAAGTCTGTTATATAAGACAGGTAACCGAGTCAGAATTGCATTTGCTCCATACAAAGTAACATGTGGTGGAGTAGCGAATAACGGGGTGATTCTAGTACGACGCTTTGGGGTACAAAATTTAATATTAGCTAAAAGTTCAGGGATATCAATATTGCTTCTTACGTTATCAAACAGAAAGATCATATCCGATAGTATCCTACGCTCTTCAAGAGTTGAAACATCGATCCACAGTTGTTAAACTAATATAACAGACGACCTCCGTGGCTGAGTGGTTTGTACGCCGGGTTACATGGCGTCGCCGACTCGAGAGGTCCTGTGTTCTATCTGTTACCCTAGTATCCCATAACACAAGCTTGATAGTGCTTACTTTGGGGCTAGGCTAATTGGTGTGTGTTGGAAATATTTATTTATATAGCACAATCGATATTACGACAAGCATTTTGGATGCTTTGAATTTTATAAATCGCTTTTACCTACGAATTTCATTAACATCTTAGCTGGTTTAAGCTGATGCCGTCACTTTCTACGTTATAATAATAGAATAACACAACACATGATGTGACTTGAATGAAGCATTAAAATTAATTGACGTCTCTGTGCTTGTAAACGGGAATGAAGCGCGTTTATTAAGACTTTAAAATAATTCTCGATGTGCGACACATGCAAACACATTAAGTAATAATTAAAAAATAAAATATGGCGATTTCATGGCGCTGGCAACAGTACAGAAATTTCGGAGACTCGCAAACAACAAGGTACTTCATGGTATAGCAATCCCGATAATAACAAAAACTACTTTATTGCTCTGGAGTAATAATAATGAGAAAAATAATGACAAATTTAAAAAAAAATACTTAATAATTAAGTACTTAATAGTAATAAAATAAAAATTATTTACGGGATTGTTACCATGTACCTTGTTTTTAGCGAGTTTCCGATATTTCGGCACTGTCGCAAGCGCCATGATCACGGAGTAACTGATATCTTTAATATCGGAAACTTGCTAAAAACAGGGTACATCGTAACAATCCCGTAAATAACTTATTATTACTATAATGTTAGTGACCATAAAAGTTTAAAATAATATATAACTACTTAATGGTGTCGATTCTGGCATAATTCTCTAAATTTAAAACTAAATTTGACATCAGTCTGTCCTCTTCAGTCTGTATAGAGAATGACAGAGATACACTGTTGTCAAATTTAAGTTTAGCTTTAGAGAATCATGCCAGAATCGACACCATTGT